CCCCCCCCCCCCCCAAATTGAAGCAAGTGGACAATTCATGTGTCAGAACAAGTGCAAGAATGGTGACAAAAGTGCAGGATCTTCAAAGACATGGAAATTGCCATGGAGTTTTAAGAGATTTTTGAACATGCGTCGAGTTACTCAGCACAAGACGCCTTGGATGCAAAGTGAGTGGATGACAATCTGCAGTGATCTCACAATGACATCTGGTAACATCTTTTGCTCCCTCTGTCCATCACTGTCATGGACGAGACTTTTCATCTCTTTCACTAACAAACAAAGCATGATCCACGACTTGCAGTTCGCCTCATTCACGGTGATAAAAAAGTTACAGTGATATCAGAAGTCTGAGTTTTGTGGTCCTGTGCACTACAAATTCATTCCAGATGCAACTCTGAACAAAGAAAGATCAAACAGAAGTTGCACCAGCTGCAGGAGGGGACCAGTGACTGGTGATATAAATCTGCTGCACGATAACACAACCCAGAATTCCTGTGCAAAAATCGCTCGCTGAACACAATACTGTCGTGTTATCACATCAACTTAATCGCATGATCTCTCACCATCCGATGTCTCTTTCCTCGAGAGAAAAACATTTGAGAGGCCATCGTTTCAACAGCAGGCAAGAAGTTATTGCTGCAACTCAAGATGCTCTGTGTGACATCCAGCCACAGTAATTCCAGAACTGCTTCCGGCAACTGTACCAAAGGCGGCAAGAGCGTGTTCCAGCTCAGGGAGAGTTGTCTGAGAGCAGCTGCGTCTAGGTCGAGACCATAAATTTTTGACTGCATTACAAAGTATTCTTCTGTAAATTTTTAATGTAAACTGGTCTGGCAATTCCTTTACACGAGACCTCTGATGGTCTGTTTTCTATTAAAAATTTTCTCCTGACTCAATATACCAATGGGTCCTGACTTGTGTTACCGGGTTAATCACGTTGACAGATATTTTGTCATGTTGTAGTGATATATTATTTTTCTTTTGTGTTATTCTGTTTACAGATGTAACCTTGTCTGACGTACTACAATTTTCTGCACTGTCCTCAACAATACTTTGTAAGTTTAATAATTCCTCAAAGTATTCCATCCAAGTCTAAAGATACACATCTTTCTATCCACACCAACTTCTCTTTGTCTAATGGACATTTTAATTCAGATTTTTATTCATATTATTCCTCATTACTGCATAATTTTTTTGTTTCTTTTGTAAGCTTTCCTTAAATTCATCACATATTTTTTCCATTTTCTTTATTTCTCAAACTTAATCACACATTCAATTGCTTTTAGACAACATTCCTGTGCACAAAAAATACACCATGTCACCCTGAACAAAAACCCAATAATTATCACTGTTTTGTAAGTGTTTAAAAAGAAAACCATATTTAATTTAGTACCAGATGCACCATTTCTCTTAAATCTTTGCCTTTAAAATTTACGTGTTTGTCAGATTTATTGAAAAACATGTCTCACCATGACCATGCGGTACTGAAATAAAAATGAAGCATACAACATGACATGTAGCTAGGATGGGTGACACAAGAAATGCTTACAGAACTGTGGTAAAGAAATGTGATGAACAAAGGTAACTTGTATGACCAACAGATGGAATGTTATGAAGCCCATGCAGATGTTCATTAATTACAAATACCATTAATGTTCCTAGATACATCAAGAGCTGGTGTAATCTGTAACGGGTGTACTTACAGGGCTGAACTACTCCACAGATGTTGGGTACACATTCCTTTACTCGAGGAAAATAGCAAAACAGGATCAGCCTGTGTCCTGCATCACCAGATACTGCATAATATCATTCCACATTGAATGGTCTCTGTGATGGCTGTCGGAACAGCTGGTTCTGCCCATCTAACTGGTTCACCACCAGCTTTATGCTCCCGACTGCGTGCGGACATCTACACAAGCAACCCCACTCAACATATTTTAGGAACAGAGTAATGAAAGCAAACAAACAAACAAAACATACATCATTCATTTATAAAAATTAGAGATTAAATTGTTTATTTAGGGTTTATTAAATTATATTTCCAACAATCAGATTATACAGCACTGAATAATAGATAAGTGAATAAGTAATTGGAAAGAATGTGGAAGGAAGTGGGTGTGGCCTAATTTAAGGTACTATCCTGGAATTTGTTCACAGGGTCTGAGGAAAATCAAAAGAAACTTCAATCAGGATAGTCAGTCCTTGGGCCAAGATTTGAACCTGGTACAGTAGTAGCAGTAAATTCCTGTATTCCACATCTATTAAAATTGAAAGGCAAAGGGATCAGAGGAGTAGGAGGAGACGGCAGATGAAGAAGCACACACTGCCCATTCTATAAATATTATTTCCTGGTGGCAAGACTTTGTAGCTTGCTTTCTCACTTCCTGGGTTAGTAAGTGTTGGGATTACATAGTACATGCATTTGTTTTCCTTGTACCTGCAAGACAGTGACATAGGCAAAACATTCAGTTTCATCCCAGATACAGTAACAATCAAAGTGTCCTAACCACCTCACCATTAATTTTTTGACATAATAAATATGTTTGATAAAGTATGGGACAATGGGAGGAGAATAAAGTGATGGAACGAATTTTTCATTAATTTGTCATGAAGAAAGACACGATGATGAATTGGCAGGTAAAAGTAAAGCAATCCCCATACAGGCCAATGATGGCAATTAGGGCGGAAATTCTCAACCTCGACACTAGGAGGGCATGAGTACTTAGTGTCACACTCTAGCCACACTTTACCCCCAGGAAAGAACCACATTGGCCACTGGGGATGAGGCTGGGTGGGTCCTAGAGACAGTCTGTATGTAGAGGCTAGAAGAACATCCTCTGCCCCTCTTGCGGATTGAACTCTGATCTTCTGGCCAGTAACCAGTCACTATACTCACTGAGCTAGCTGACTCACAATGAATTTGCAGGTACTGGTAGCCTTCGATTTGCATCGGTCCAATTTGCGCCGATTTTGAAACCAGAAAGTCAACAAGTGAAAAAAATATATTTTACTATTATTTATAACGTTTTACAATGTTTCTCGTACTGCTTCTCATACTAAATCGTAATTATTACATCGCTGATTTTGAATAAAAATTATAAATACAGTCATCTCTGCAATTATGTATATTTCGTTAACGCGAATTTGCTCCAATGAGATCGATGAATCGGTAAAAGCTGTTTGTGAAATGCAAACTTTTGCATATGCGAGTTTGCTCTTGTGCTACAGCCAAGAGGAACCTTATGGCATCCATGAGGCCTTATCGTGAAATTTTGAAAAAAAAGAAAGAAAGAAAGAAGAAATCACGACGGTCCACACTACATGCCTTCTTTAAAAAACATGACGATCCTCAACCAGGGACTTCGTCAGAGAACTAACGCCGCTTCATCACGCCATCGCCGATTGTAAGTGTATAAAATATATTTTTTAAATTCCCTTTATTTTATTTATGTTATTTCAGAGGTTTAAACGTAACCATGTGTATGATCTCCTTTTGCTGAATGAATCAATTCCTAAAGCAAAATTAAGAGAATATTTCAAAATCTGAAGATGTGATTAAGGGTAGGGTTATCACTAGGGTTCGAATGTTCATGTCATGTATATTTTTATTGGGGCTTCCATTTTTATTCTAAACTGAAATTAAACACTAATTGAGTGATTCTCATCACAATTAGACTGTATTATTTTGCATATAAATACCTATTTAGGTCATTTTTATGTTTTTGGTCATAATTATAGTTAAATGCATATTTTGGTTATATTTTGAGGACAAAATGCATATTTTGGGTATACAATTCTTACTTGTAACTACACTTCTCAGGCATTTACAGTGAATCCTTCAGTTAGTTAAGATGCCGAAAGTGAAGTGTTCTGAAAGTGTGAAGGTAAGAGGTTTTGTTAAAGATTTTGGAGAGGAATATTTTAGTTCTGATGGAACAATTGTGTTCTATAAACTTTGTGAAGTTAAAGTTACAGCTGGTAAGCGATTTAGTGTGCAACAACATTGTGATATGGCAAAACATAAAACTAATTTGAGCCAACAAACCAGTCGTCAAAGCAAGCAACGACCTTTGTTCGATAACACTGCAATAACTTCACCATCAAATAAAACGTCATAATTTTCAAAGGACCTGTGTGAAATGATGGTGTCTGCCAACATACTAATGAACAAAGTGAAAAATGAGCAGTTTAAAGCTTTATTGGAGAAATACACGACTCAGTTAATTCCAGACGAATCAACACTGTGTATAAAACTATGTACCTGACTGTTATTCTAAAGAGAATTACATGGGTGACAATAAAATTTGGGTTTCGATTGATGAAACAACAGATGTCTGCGGCAGATATGGAGCAAATGTCGTTATTGGCACGCTCTTTGCTGACCGTCCTGGTGTCATATTCCTTCTTGATACAGTAAACCACTCCTCTATCTCTGTACTTTTCAATAACGCCATGAAACTCTTGAGGATAGGTGACGTTAAGCGAGAAAATATCCTCTTCTTTGTAACAGACGCTGCACCATATATGGTAAAAGATTTCAAGGGCCTCAAAATGCGTTATTCAAAAATGGTCCATTTAACATGTCTCGCTCGTGCCTTGCACAGAGTTGCCAAAGAAATTAGACGTTATATTGAAGTCGACAAGTTGATCTCGAACGTTAAGCAAATGTTCGTTAAAACTCCACTGAGGGTGCAGAAATTCAAACAACTCGCACCTTCACTGCCTCTTCCTCCTCAGTCGGTACTCACTCGATGGGGTACCTGGCTCAATGCTGCTGAGTACTGCTGCGAAAACTATGCAGTTATTGAAGAAATTGTTAACAGTTTTGATAGCAGTGAGGCATTTTCTATCAAAATTGTTAAAGAACTATTTCCCAGTAGTTTGTCAGGAAGTCTGGCTTATATAAAATCTAACTATGGAGGTATAGCAACTACAATTTCTCGCCTAAAGGAAGTTTGCGCAGATCTACATGAAAGTTTGGAGCTGATAAAGGATGTAGAGTGAGAGATGGGGCGAGTAGGAGGCAAAATAGGTGATGCTGTGAAATCAAAACTTAATACATTGCTGTGTCGAAATGATGGTTATGCAACATTGTACAAAATAAGTGACATCTAAAGTGGATATGAAGCTACACTGGGAGAAGATGAACCAGCGTTAAACAGCAATGATTTAAACATCTTCAAATATCCTCCGGTGATATCGTGCGATGTCGAAAGGAGCTTCTCAAGTTACAAGACCATACTGAGCGACAATCAAAGAAGATTTTTATTCGAGACCTTGAAAATGCACATCATTATATATTGTAATGCTGCTGAGAAAGAAAAATGAAGAAATGTACGTAATATTTTGAATTTTTTTTATTCATATATATGTAATTAATGAGTTTGATAAGCATGAAAGGCTCTTCTTTTAAATTTATTTTCTTTTTATAGGCGCACATATTCTCAACATCTGATTCTGATCCAAACTGAGGTATTTACAACTTAGAGCGACTGAGGTTTTTGACTGAAATTGCTAGGAAATCAAGTAATGTAATAGTTGTACATGAATATGTAAATAAATAACATGATTGAAACACAAAACGCTTTTTTTTTTAATTTTAGCGAATCATTTTTCATAACAAATTAGGTCATATTTTGCCTTTTTTGAGTCATATTTAGCTATTTTCTGGGGCATATTTGCATGCATATTTTAGGTCATGAACATCCGAATCCTAGTTATTACTATTAAGGAATGGGAAATGTAAATGAAGTTCTGTGCCTTTATAAATGAGACATAATGATTATAATGTAATAGAGGACTGGTATCTTCTGTTCTGTTGTATGCAGATATTGCCCTCCTGCAAAGCTAATGGAGATTAAGTGATAAGATTATTTTATGATGATCAGGTCAAATGAAGAACAAGATGGATAAAGCATCATGTATGAGGCTGTCATGGCATATGTGAAAGTGCTGATATCGTGTTTGAATACAGAAGTTGAGGGAAATTAAAGACATTTTAAATTGGGCTAAGGGGGTGAGTGGTCAGCATCATGCCCTGCTCACAGGGGAAAAAAGCCCAAGAACCAATTGGATAGAAGGCTGGGTGGGCCTCAAAACCAATCTGGATGCAGAGACTAGGAGATAAAAACTTTGCCCATTCAAATCCTGTGTGTTTGTGGAGCAAATACGGCAGTAGTAGTGAAGCGGTGAAGAGTTACCCAAATGGGTGTTTTTGTCCTAGTGGAAAAATAAGTAACAGGTAGGATCGACAGATTAATATAAAATTTTGTGCAAACTTAGGCAAAAAAGTGAGTGAAACTGCAGATGTTGACAGAGGCTTACAGTGCTGATGCCATGACAATGTAGAGTGTCTGCAAGTGACATAAAAGACTCAAGGAGGTCAGGTGAAGACGATCCCTGTCTGTCATTTCCTTCTCTTTTGATCACAAAAGAACTGTTCACTTTGAGTTTGTTGAAAAAGGTCAAGTAGCAAACCAGCGTTATTTTGAAATACTGGCAAAGTTAAGCATCGTGACAATTCCCCTGCTAATGATGCACTTGCTATTTACAAGTTTTTGGCCAGAAATTGATGTTGAAACTGGACCATCCACCATTCACCACATTTGGCTATTCCCAAAACTGAACACTCCTTTGAAGGGCCACAGACTTTCAGGGACATGCAATGACCATCCTGAAAAGCATTCTTAAAAAGGAATGTCAGAAACGTTTCCAGCAGAGGATACCCCCGTTCACAAAGTGTATTGGTATGCAGGAAGACTGCTTCAAAAATGACAGCAACAGTTATTGTGCACAGATTTTACAAGGCAGCAGGAAAAATTTATTGTCACACCTCATGAAACAAACACAAATGCCATATGTTCAAGTTTGAAAAATGGAAATTATATTCTGAACTTCACAGGAAAAAATCTGTACCTCAGAGGATAGCCATTCCATTGTTATTCCAAAGATATTTGAAACTATTTTATTGGATCATAAATTGGTGATTTCAGAGAATGAAGTTAATGCTATGCACTACTAATAAATCTCATTCTAAGGGTTTTAAGACAAAATAGGCTTATATTTTAGTTATGACCATTTAGTCTAAGGTAGAAAATTAAATTATCCTGTCAACTCATTAACTAACACAACAGCAGAAGAATATTAAATATTGCAAATTAAATTATATTAACTGCAAGAACTAAACTGTTATTTCAATTAATTTTTGTACAAAACAAGACCTTACTAAGTAAATTATCAACTTTTCAACTTTACCTGGTGTGGCCAGGAATTTCATTTTGAGACGGAATGCACACTTTCAAAGTTCATAATGATGAACATTACATTGGCACAGCGCTTCTGCAAACTCACACAGGCTGCAAACCACAGCAACAACCTCGTATTCAGTACATTCTGAAAATTCAATGCAAAGTAAAATATCTGCAAAGAGGACACAAACCTAGGTCCCTGTGAACAATAAAATAGTGTCTTACTGCCAGATTACGAAGTTCCTATATTCACAGTGGGAAAGTAAAACCTCATGTTTCCTGGTACTTTGTAACAGTAAATCTATTACAGGATGCGAGGCGGAATTAAATTTATCATGATACCTGACGTGCACTTTCTTCTTTGTCTGTGCTACAGTGACGCATCTATGAACCACAGACTAGAAATATAATAAAATTAACTTTAATCTGTCTTACATACTCACAAGTGAGAGAATTTGTAGCCCTGTAGACTGGTTCCAAAACAAAAGTGCATGTACCAACAAATGAAAATGTCACATTAATGTCTTCCCTTGACATGTAAAAAAGGGGAGGATTAGAATTATTACCCATGTGAAGCAACTTCGCATCATCAACTTGCACCAGATCTGCCTTTTTCATGCCTGATGTTCCTTGTGCTGAGATGGTGTGTGCGGATGATCTACGTTCGTAAACAACAGGATTCTTCTCATGTACCTTGGCTGAAACTGACAGCCAAAGATGTGATTACAAGTTTTCCATAGGATAACAGAATAAAGTTTATACTAAGCAAACTGCACACTGGAAACAACAGAACATGAACATATAGAAATTGGTTTCACGTAAGTTATATTTCATTCCTTACTCTAATTTTGATGAATGCAACTTTGAATGAAATCACAGTCCAGGAATTCGCAGACTTTAGCCTGCTAATGTGTTTTGTGAGGAACACATTAATTTTCAACCTGCATGGCAGTAAAATAGTTCAAACATAACATTTACGCAATTCTTTGTGAATTGTTAATAAGAATAAGCCAATGTCAACATAATCTGAGCAAACACAGCAAAACCAAATCTAACTAGTAACCAACACTGTTTATAATAGTGCCAAAAAAACACATATTTAAGCCATCAATGCATGACATAAAGGATTCACATTATTTACATCACTTTGTTTAGATCTAATATGAAATCACATTAAACAGCTTGCTCATTCAAGTTCCATGTAACTCAAAACTCACCTACAAGCATGTGACAGCTATGTTCAGATTGTGACCAACTCATTTCCTGGCAGTTGGCTTCCTGCTGCTGGTCTGGTATGCTGTCATAGTGGATTCTGCATTTAGGGAGACACACTGTATGAGATCTCAGACAAGATTATGTGATAATGCATCTCATAACTACTACAATACCCACACTCCATATACAGCTGATATGTGTAGTTGATAATGGCCTTGTATCACTTCAAAAAGAGATTTGTCTGACAAAATAACAGAATAGGAACCGAACATAAGTGAAAGGAAACAATTACGGACTGGCAAGTAAGTTACCTAATCCACAAATTTATGAAGTTATCATACCAAGCTTCCAGGACTTCCTTAATCCCACTAATAATACCACAGAAGTACATAACTTGCACTTCTCTTAAAAATTACTTATTTCCTCTTATTTACAGTAAACTGGTTTTGGTAATAAAAAGGTATTTAATCTCATTCTGTAGTTTCTTATATTTCTTGTACTATTCCTTGTAGCAATTTTCGGTCTGCCACTATACTTGGAGCCAATTATACAAGCGTTCGCTGGCTCTTCTACTTTAACAACACTGCCATTCATCTCAATCAGATTACAACAGTTATTGCACAGATTACTTTCGAAAGTAATTTTCACAAACAACATTAATTTTTTTGGCACTTGAAGCGTTCTGATTTTATTCCAAAAGACATTTTAAAAATAAGTTTCACGAATTTGTATCAACACATAACCTCACCTTACTTCACAGATAAAAAAAGTCAAAACACTCCAGTTTAATGTCTGTGAATTGTAAAATGCAAAGACCAATAAACAGTTGGTAACCTTCTAGCAGACCACACCGCCTTCTTATGTTGAAATAATTGAACTGAAAGTAGTGACTGAGTAAGAGAGTGGAAGTGATTGGGTGAGTCAGTGAATTTCTTTGCCCTATCTTCAAATATTGTAAAATGAAGGTTTGAACTCGGGACATCCTGATTACAACACAGTGAATAAGTAGCGATGCACGTTAGTTTACTTTGACAGCAAAGCTACACAGCCCAACGGGTTCCTCGTCTTCCTTTGGGATTTCGATTAACGTTCTAACATACTTCCCACCATTCTTATGACTTTAGCATTTTGTGGAGATTCCTGCAGCGAAGAAATGAGGAGTTTTACTCCAACTTTCATTTTCTGAGAAAAACTGCGTCTTTTTCAGTATGATGTGATCGATTTAGGTTATATTCAAAAAGGGGCTTCAGCTAATCGATATGGGCAAAAATGCATACGTCCATGGCACATTTAACAGATATTCATCAATTTTTGGGGAGATGAATCAAGAGGACTACGCGAATTTGCTTGGAAATAGAGTAAGCCGGCGTAGCTTTCAGTACAGTGATTAACTACGGGCTGTACGACCGGGGTTCGATCCCCGACGGGGGCAGAGGATGTTTCCTCTAGCATGTGTCCAGACCGGTTCTGGATCCCACCCAGCCTCCTATCCAATGGGTACCGGGGTCCTTTCCCGGGGGTAAAGCGCGGCCAGGGCGTGAAGACTCACGGACTCACTACTATTTTTGCAGAATGAGTAGGAGCTATATCACGTCTCTCCAAGGGCCTACATGGCGTATACGTAGTGGGACAGCTTTACCTTTTACTTACTTTACTTAGAAAGGAAAGATGTGGTAACACTGATTAATATTTTGTCAAAATATGTGTAGTGTTTGTAAAGAGATTTTTCAGAACACCTCCAGAAATGAGATCTTGCACACACCAACGTAATCAGTTGTAACAAATGTCTACGTACTTCCTCTTCGGATCTTGTAGAAACGCTTTGTCCTTATGAGTTTGTCCCGAAGAGCAACTAATGCCCATGTGACGAATTCAATTCGATATTTGGTTAACACATCTTCTATCGATTGTATTTCACAATGATTGAAATCTGTAGCTCACATTTCTTATCCGAGACGTCGAAAATTTCGTCTGCAATAAAGGTTGCCAAGCTAATTATAATGTTAAACATCCGTCATGTTACATTATTAGTTAACATGTCGATCAGGTTTACTCACATGGTTAAAGAATTTGGCCTACTTACTGAAACAAAACTTTACAAAACTCCGGTCCAATATTACGCATGAAAAGAAAGGGAACGCTTACCAGTCCGTGAAGATTCACGGAGTCACTACTATTTTTGTCTTCGCCTTGTTCCCACATTTCACATATTTCAAGCCTTCAGTGCGGTAGCCAGTAATTATGAAGTCTTAGGTCGCTCAATTTGGAGTCTCAGGTTCAAATCCAGCACAGGGCATTAGGCATTAACTTTTGCCCCCCCCCCCCCTTTTCTTTTTC